AAAATGTCTTATAATGATTATATAATACAATAAGAACAGTAAAAAGAGAAGGAAGAAGGGAAAAGTGCAATTCAACAACAAAAATACTGTTTATATGAAACAACAATAAAATTGAACCGAAATGCATGTTTCATGGCATCGAGACCAACTTGTAGCAAATTACCCGGATACCTTTCACTAAGATGCCTCTTCAGAATCAATAAGACGCTGGATGCTACCACTCTATAGCTTGTTTTTTAGCATTCTCTCCACAACTCTTGAAAAGTCGCCATTTTGATAATTAAAATTCAATGTGACCTGTGGTCACATGTCATGGATAACTGAATCTGATTGGTCACGTCCATTTCTGGACGTAAGAACAGGACTACATCAAGCAATGTACCAGACCCTTCCCCGCCGTCCACCCCAATGACTGTAGGCTGGGGAATGGTCTGGCTAGCGAGACTAAGGCCCGGGCAAGCCAGGGCTTTGCCCTGGTAGTTTTCAACCAAAACCACACCCAAAAGGTGTGTTTTGTTATTATTAGGAATGATATCATCACTAGAATTCATTTTTTATAGCCACAACTGTTTATACTTGCTATCAGCTCCACTTTACAGTTATTTTAGTGTGGTAACTGGCTTCTGTGAGCTATCATAATGACTTTCAGTCATTTTATTAATTGACCACACCCCTAATTTTTATAAATAATTAATGAGCCCTGGTTAATTCAAGATTCTGTAGCCGCCATGTATAATCTCCTGAGGATGTCAATCAAGGTATTGAGTGCCATTTTAGTGGTATAAGGACAGTAGATAGTATATATAGTCAATACATATTGGATAGTACAGATCATTAAAGGTGTGTATGTATTCATGTACACTAGCAATCAAAGTTAAGGAGTCATTTCATTTCTCTTCTTAATATGATCTTTAGCTAACAAAAACTAGCTCATTCTTAATTCACAGATCCTGATATTAAAATGAAGGCGCCTTTGGTTTAATATGCATATGTCATCAGTATATGAGCCTGAACAAGGACATGTAGACAACCTGTTTCTTTTTAATAATCAGTAATCATAACTATTCATTATTGTTATTCATCTTCTACATTCATTATTCATATTCTTGTCTATGAATGTGTTCACAGAAGTGTTTCTGTGAACAGTTTAAGGTACAACCTGCAGAATTCAAATTATATCACTGTGAAATTAAAAATTTAAAACAATTAATCCAAAATAAGAGGATTAGTTTGCTACAAATAGTTAACAAAAAATCACAATAAGTACTAAAATGCAATTGTTGCAAAAATAATTATTGAAAATAAGTCATGCCAAAAATATTAATGCATAATAACAACTATAATCTCTAGTCTCTACTGTTAAAATTGACTAATTCACTACTTAAAATAATCTAATCATAAAAAGAATATAATAAAACACAATGGACCATGGAATATGTTCAGTTATGACAAGGAGCTGGTAGATTTTCATGATTAATCCTCAAAGCCTCACATGTCATTTTGAGAAGTTTAGTTTTACATACAGCAGAGCAGTCAGGTGGGCTAGGTTCAGTGCAAGGATCTAAAAGATATACAAGTTATGTGGAACAGTTGATACATGTACTATAGTCATACCTGGTGGTATATGATTCAGTGAAAATATATATGTCCCTGGTATGTTGCTATTAAGCATCATAGCAGGGGCATTGGTGACAGTAGCACCAAATGGAAAGAAAGAAGGATTAGCTGGTACAAGACGACCATTGATGTTTGAACTTAATCCTGTAGTAGCTGATGCAATGCTCACATTGACATAAAGTGCAATACCAAATGTATTGCTTCCATTAGTTGCAATTATTGCTTGGAAGTTACTGCCCTAAAAATAATAAATAAAGTGATTAGAGTGTAGCTAGCTATTATTAACAGTATTTCATGTATTAAGTAATTAATATACTAACTAAGTTTGAGCCAGCTTTTGCAAAGTCTATCCAAGTTACTATTATTAATTGTGTAGGAGGAGATGTACTGCAGAAAGTATTAGGAAATGCTTCATTAATCTGATCCGTAGCTCTCTGTATAAACCCTGGATAAGCAGTAGTCCTACCATATATCTTAGTATTGGAAGTATCACTTGAAGACTGGTAGAGCAAATTCAAAAACACTTTATCATTTCCATTATTTACAATTTCTAGGTACCCAAAGCGTATAACCTATTATAAGTAAATGTTATAAACTGAGAAATGATCAATAAATTGTGTTTTAATAAAATGAACAGATAATGGTTAGTGTACAATTGCACTACATTACAAACTAAAGCACTAATAATGTGTGTGTGTGTGTGTGTGTAGCCACTAACTGAATATCTTGTTGCCATAAGTCCAGCTTCACTAAGTCTAACTAAATTATCAATTGGAGCCAGTAATGATGTAGAAGAGAGACTAGATCCAGTCATCATGGTGTCCCCATGTTGTGTACCATATGGGTACAAGTCAGCTAGTTCTAGTCCATTTGTATAACATGTACTCAGTATAACCTGTAAAGATAGTACCATACACTATCATATATATTGTATCTTACTAGTATAGTTCTTGTCAATAGGACTACTGATACCATTATAAACTGATTTTAGTTGTTTGTCTCTTGCAATGAATTCAGCTCCTACTGTTAACTACTTTTATATCATCATAGAAGCCACAAAGTATGTAATATACAGAAACCAGTGAAGGGCCTTTGATGTGTAGACTCTCCATAGCTCCAGTTACATACTGTATGTATGTTCACTAATTGGAGCCACCACAGTGTTACCATTCCTTATCATTCCTAAGTAAGGTTTATTGCTGTATCTTTATATAATACAATATACTGACATTAGTAATATCAACTGTGTTCAGGTACATATGTGTGTTAGTACATACTATATTACCATATACTGCTTGTAACATGATGAATGATAATGGTATGATTTCTTAATTGTCACTAATTTAGGAGTGGCAATGTTTGGCATTCTTCCCTAATCCATCAATATATATAGATACCTCTATATATATTGACTGCTGTCTAAAAGATGTTTTCTGAGTAAAGTTTTTCAGCTTTTTCAAGTTTTTTCATATCCATGCAGTAACAAACAATGACAATCGAAAAAACAAAATTTAAGTTTATATAAATAGCAACAAGTAGACAATAGCTTCTACTGAATAAAGGTGGGTTCAGAATATTTGAGTTGTGACCAGAAGTGCTGTATAACGCAATGGGTAAATGCAAGAATAGAACTCTGCTCTAT